TTGTAGATTTGATGGAATAGGTCTTCGGCACACCGCCTTGCGATCCCGAATTATCGTTAACCATGGTGTCATTCTCTGACGATGTCCGTCACATGACGGAACAAAGCTCAGCAAGGATTCATCAGGGTCGCATAGCAGTGCGCCGAGGACCTATTCGCACAAATCTAGAACCACAGCTCCAAGACAACTCACCCCTCACAGCCTCCGATGGAACCAGCCTACGAATCCCTTTTGCTCGCCTCTTCAACGAAATGAAAGGTACTCCAACATGAATTTATTAAGGGATTCTTCGAAGCCCAGTTTTTCTACATACCTACATTCGTATAATTAAGTTAGTCATTTTCATTTTAAAAGCAGTTGGTGATTTATTATCAAGCTAAAGAATCGATTTAACCAGTTCTCTGATATATGTACATTGTTTAAGAATCTATGCAATTATTTCGAGATAACAGTAAAAGAAATACTCGATTTGCCTATGTTGAGTGTTTATTGCAAGTAAAATTTTAACATATATCAAGAGAATCGATGCTTCATTTAAGGCTAAATTTACGTAAGTCCCTGTTTCAGTGGATACATATTCTTTACCTCCTAGTTATAGCTTAGAATGTAAAAATAAATTAATAAAAACCAAGAGTAGGTTTTCATGTAAATAATTTGTACTAAGTAATGGCTGGGACTCAGCTTCGAATATATCGGCATGTCTATTAGAAAAAATCTCGGTAAAAACTCATCGAGTTTGGAAGATTTTTTAATCGCAAAAATATCGTAAGGAACTAGTAACGTGACACGAGAAAATTACCTAGCAACAGAAATCCAAAGTCGGCCGACTGTTGCCAGCCTCGAATCCTCCTCATCATTCAAAGAATAATTTTCTCCCAAGACACGTATGGACTGGCCAGCTTCGAGAGTTCCAGACAAGACGCGACCAAAGGCATGAAAGGCGATGGCATCCTTGTCAGGGTAAAGCTTAGTGGTGTGCACCATAAGGCGACATTGCATATCACACTTTAGCATATCGCGAGTGGCAGGTGCGCCGTGTGGACCAGTATAAGTATGAGCAACTTTAATTGGCGCAGCCTCAATGGGACTTGGAATGTGCTGAATACACATGCTTGAGAAGCCTATGAAGCAATAAAAATCGAGAAAAATTTGTAATTACAATAAAAAGCAAAATTATAATTGCTTTGTAGAAGTTGGTTGACCTCGTTGTCGCAACTTGTTATTTTTGTCCGGGAGACTTAGTAGAACGCATCTAGTCTGAAGTTATCTGCCATAGTAGTTATCATAATTCCCAGC